AGAGAACCATAGCCTCACATGCGGCAGTGACTGGCTGAAGACGTCATACGGATGGTCACGTTACTGTAACCGATTTCGCTATAACCATCCACTCCAATCTTGATTGTCAACTCTCGCTTTCCCTTCTCGAATATAAACTTTTTTCACTATTCTTAAACGTTCTGTTCATTTCAAAGGTAGCGATTTAACCGTGGTTATTTTTATTTGATCTAACGTTATTATTAAACATTTTTCGTTTACAGAAATGTCAAATTTCTACAAGAACGGGGAAACTTTTGAAGAAAATATTATAGATCTTTTACAAAAAGAGGGATTTCTACCCCGTATAAGGTGAGAATTTTCACTGAGGTTTGTAGAGTAGTTTGTATCTGAAGGGACACTGCCACTAGGTGTAAATCGGAGAATCGAAAACGCTTCGTGGCCACAACTTGAAAGTTACCGTTTCAGATAATTATTTATATATGTATCTAAAGCTATTAATAGCTGCTGCGGAGGAATCGTGGGCTATGGTGATTAGGATACATGTAAAAATACTGATACACGATTACTAAATAGTTGTAAACGTTCTCTCCGTTACTGAAAAAGCTGCTGCGGAGAAATCGCGGGCTGTGGTGAATAGGATACATTGAATCATTTGAATTGATGGTTTTGACTACGATGACGCATTACTTATTATAATATTCTTTATTATTGCACCAGGGACGATGGAGAAAGCGACATCCTTATAAACCATAATGGTTTAATCTATGTAATCCGATGTGAAGTCCAAAAAAACAAACTTGGTAAATATTAATATATTAATTAATATTATTGCAAAACTGTTATATACAAAAATTGTTATATAATTTAATTTGAATATAGGTCCTAAATACGTCCAACAACTGAAGGATTTGCTCGACGATTGGCCTCTAGAAACAACTGTCGGCATCTTAGTGACTAATAAATCTAATCGGTTTACTAAAGATGCCGTTTCAGAGGCTCAATCGTCGAGGCATCACATTATCCTCGTTGGCACGAAGGATCTCGTTAAAAAAATACGAGAGTATCAGCCCCCCCGACAAGTTCAGCTTGAAAAAAAATTAGAAGAAACTCGTTCGGAAGTCCGGCAATTAAGATCGGAAATAGCTGAACTTCGGGATCTTGTAATTTCTTTTTTAAAAAATAAATAAAATTGTTTTTTTTTATAATCTCTAATTATGATTATGTTGTATATAAATCCCGTAACCATGATGTAAACTCCTTCAAATATCTTACCAAGTCCCTAAAATAAAAACCGCCCTTAACGTGTTTAATATCGTCGGTAAAGAACGAGTTGTATTTGTTATCGTTACCAAGCATTACAATTTTGCTATTTTAATAGACATAACATAACGTCTCAATTTTTATGCTCACGCTACCCTACGCTTTTGACTTGCACTATGCCCGCCCGATTTTACTATTATTGCTTACTCCGGTTTATTATTAAATTAAGTAGTTTTTACTACAATACTGGAAGACATTCAGAGTTTTGGATTACTAATACTGTGTCCTGTAAGTCAATATAACAGCATATGTGTATTTATTATTAAAGTCTATTATTAAATCCCTTCCTTCTGTAAATCCCGTCAAGTCCCAAAATTAAGTGTCACCCATTTTTCAGTTACAGTCAAAGCTGGCTATAACGAACTTCTGTTATAACGAAGATCTGTTTATAACGAAGATTTTCTCTAAGCCCATTATAAATAGTCATAATCTTAGCTATAAAAGTGACCTTCATTATAAGAAATTTCTGGTTATAAAGAATATTTTCTCTGGTCCCGTAGAATTTATTATAATCAGCTTTGACTGTACTGATGTTCTGACTCAAATCGAAATCTGACCCAATTCAGAATCGGGTCGACCCAAATCGCAATGCGTTGGCCCAAATCGAAATAAGCTCAGAGTGATATTCGTTTCAATGTTGTCACGTAATTTATGCACAACGGTTGGACAGATATCGTTTGTTTGTACACAAGGAGAACATAAACTTATTGTATATCTACTGCACTTTTTTATGGGGAAAACGATTAAAGTTCAGTACTAAAAAATTAGGGTTGATTTATCACATACTGGATTGCACCAGCGATGATGCTTCTTTTAATAAGTAGTTATTCTAAACGCATGAAGGATTAAAAATAGTAGCTGCTTATTCGTCTTTAATAAATAATAAACTATAACAAATACAGTCAAAGCTGATTATAACGAATTCTACGGGACCAGAAAAAATATTCTTTATAGCCAGAAATTTCTTATAATAAAGGTCACTTTTTATAGCTAAATTTATAATAGGCTTAGAGAAAATCTTCGTTATAAACAGATCTTCGTATAACAGAAGTTCGTTATAGCCAGCTTCTGACTGTAACGAGAAATTTAATTGGGCCTGCCCGGCTTCGTCGGGCAGGCTTGACATAATAAATGAACAGAGTTATATTTTAAAATGTAGGCTTGTTTTTTTAATATAGATTAAATATCATAGTAGTCGTTTGTTTATCAGCTGATCCCAGTTTTGTATTTTATTGTTCAAATTTTGAATATGGTGATGGACAACGTAAATTTTATGTGTTTTTATTATAGTAATTTACATTTAAAGGTAATTGTAATTTAAGTATCGTGTTGTACTATTGTTTTAATTTATTAATAATCAAGTATTTATCCACTGTTTTCACTACGTTATGCAGTCATTTGTCATAATAATTCACGGTTATAATTACAATTTTAGTCAAAGTTGACTAATTGTGAAACAGGGCGATGACACTTTTAGAAAATTAAATAATATTGCTAGAGCCGGATTATTTAAAGTGATGGATAAATACTCAATTATTTAAATTCATTATTTTATTGTTATTGTTTATTAATATTGCGTTTATTATTATATCGACATTGTTCACGTTTACAGTATTATTATATTGATATGTATCTTAATATCTGATTGGATGGAAATTTAATAAATCTGTAGCTATTTGTTTTAATCGTTGGTATTCTTTAGTTACTTCAGGATCAGACTTAAAAGCATCTCTGTGTAGGCTAATGATTTGAACGTGTTTCCATTTAGGACATCTACTTAATGCAACATAAGCTTGTCCTGCTGAGAATAAAGTTTGGTCAAGTGCTAAGGAGACGCAAGGTAGTGTGAGGCCTTGTGTTTTGTGAACTGTTAAGGCAAATGAGTTTTGCAATGGGAATTGCGTTCTCGAAGCCCGTTGACCGCCATTGTAGAAGTATGCTGTTTGTCTAGTTATCCATTTGTGAACAATAGCATCATGAATACAGAATGCAACTTGAATGCTTTTTCGATCATCATCCATGTCTGTTACTATCCCTATTGTTCAAGTATTTTCCTAAAGTATTTGTATTACTTGACTCACTAGATAGTTACTCTTTATGTGAAAAGCATTACAATCAGATTGTCGTTAAGAAGGATTAGATTAAACGAGTTATGAAACTAGATGATTCGGACTTTTTAGATTCGGAAGACAAAGACCGAGATTTCCTAAATAATAGGCTGCCGTCTTTCGAAAAACTTTTTCTGAATTTGGAGTCCAAATATCCAGCGTACGAAGTGCTTCTCAAAAGGGTACAGATTTGAATCAGCGATTGTTGTCCGAGAATGCGGTATTAAAGCAGCAATTGAATGAAACATTTGCAGACCAACAAGTCCGTATTAGAACTGTGACGGGAATTGCCAAAGGGGAGCGAGGTAACTTGTAATAAGTTTGATTGAAATCATAAACGATTTGGTTTAGATAGTCTTTTAGAGTATTTTCCTTCAAAGCTGTTGACAATGAACAGAAAGACAAAAAGATTGCTTAGATCGTGGATATAATACGGTCGTATTCCATAACGTTACAAACTTTGTCGCTTTTAATTACGATCAGAGTAACGATGTTCAAAATATGGGCCTTGGCTATATTCTAAACTCCTGAAGAAATCATATTCGGATTCGATAAGGAAGACACAGTTTGTAAACCTGACGCTTCTAATCGTAGTAGCTTTTATGATATAATGGGGAATTTACACTAAGTGAGGAAATGAACGATTTCGTGAATTGCGCAGATGAAACGAATAGACTTTATCAAAGCGAAGCTAATTAAAAAAATATCGTTCGGCGCTTGGCAACCAATTTCGATAACATCTGAAGATGCGAATAATCAAAAAGATCAAAATCTGTAAACAAAATCACTCTTTGATATGATTAGAACGACCACATTTTCGAGATTTATCAGAAGTATCTAGGGGTTAGTTGAATATACGGGGGGTACAACTCAATGTTACACAACTATGATCAGCGATGCAAAAACTGTCATTAGCACTATTTTACTATTTACTATTTCGACGTCGTCACTTCTTCGAGTCATGTGGCATTTCTTTTCATATGCTTCTGATAATCATTGGCTAACA